GCTTCGGATCATTATCCTGTTGGAACCAAAAATCCTCACCAAGCCACTCTTGCGCCACACTAACTTTTTTCCTTTAATGCCAAAAGTACAAAACTTACTTTCTTCGGTGAATAAGACACGTTCCCAAAACTCTCGAGGCTTGCTGATATATTTGTTTGCAAAATCCATACGTTTCTGTCTATTTACTTCGGATATAAAGGGCTTCCTACGCGCTACGCGTGCGTGATACCCATCTTTCTTCAAAAATTTTCGTACAGTATCTTCATGGAGATCCTTTTCGAACAAATTTTTAATATTTTCACATATTTTCGAGGCAGTAAGTCGAGGATGTGCTTTTACTGACTGTAATATTGTTCGTTTTTCTCGAACGATTAATATACTTGGTCGACCAGAGCGTGGCTTTGGCACAATCGACTTAGTTTTTTTGAATGCTTCCACCTCATACTGCACAGAATCATTTTACCTATTTCTCGAAATGGTTTGTCCTTCTTTTCTGAGTTTTAGAATAGTTTTTCTTTCGCCAGCACTAATTTCTTTAACTTTAGGGGTCATCGCGAATTTTTACACAATGAAAAATTATAATAACTTTAAGGTCAACCGTCAAGATCGAGATCAATTATACAATACAATATCAGCGCTTAAGGGAATGTATTTGTCACCATATTACAAGGGAAATATCCCGTTTTGATATGTACGGATACTTTTTCCGTTGAATTTAAGTAACTGTGTTTAGTTTTTGTTCTGGGAATTTTTTTAAAGTGATTGTCTAAAAGTAAAAAACGTATGGAAAGTGCAGTAAAAATACTAAATAAAACTTTTGTATACTATTTTTCATGTCGAGGTGTACGGATAATTTTTTTGGCGAGAGTACATAGTCTAAGTAAAAAATCTTTAAACCATATTTGTACGAACCACACTTAAAAGGAAATCGTTTATTAATATTTTGGTATACCCATTATGCACAGTTCACAATAATTCGCGCGCACTGTAAGTACTGCAAATATATACTGAGATAAATTACATGTATGTATGGATATGTGCTAATATCAAAACAACTTTTATAATGGAATGTTTTGGAAATTTTCAAAATGCACATACATATGTATATGTGTGTATAAATGGTCGCCTACCTCCGTTTATCTATGTGTGCAAGTGTGTGCTCTCAACTGTATAAGCAAATGAATTTTGTATGGCAGTGTGCTCCGTCTTTACTGATGGCAACATATATGTATACATAGCCGCACTTCAGGCATACATGCTTATATGTATATGGATGGATGTATGCTTATACATCTAGTATATTTAAACACACCATCACGCGTTATGGGTGTACGACTAGGTTTTGAACGGTGCTGCCATAAATTGAAAATAACAATATCACGTGAATTACAAAACTCAAAACTGCTGGAAAAAAACGAACTGGCAGGCAATCAAGTGGTCAAAGTACAAAATGAGAGAACACACACATACATATATAATATGTACTAACCTTTATATATACTAAAGACTCAATGAGAAGACAGAAGACATTAATATGTACATATGTAAATACATTTGGCACTTTGTTATGCGAGTACTCCAGAATATCTGGGTAAAGTACATATGTATGTATATACAGTGAAGGCGCTCCAAGGATAAAAGCTCTAATATGAGGGCATTTTCCATCCTTTTGAAAATTCTCAAAAGGGGTTTCTAAACGTGGTTACAATTGGGATGTTTGCGTGTTCCAATATTTAAGTGTTCTCTTAGGATATGGTCTTTTCGAATAATTATATGTACATGTATGGATGCATGTATTACGTTTAAAATTGGAACAATGTCAATGGTTGCTTAAAAAAAAGCCGGTGTATCAAAAGTAAAATCGAAAACTTTTGAAATAATATGCAAAAGTAAAGCTTTTGTACCTTTATTCAGTTGTTTGTTCGATTCGCTTACTTTATGGTTTGACAAATTGGAGATAGCAGTAAAATTTAGTATTTAAAAATAAAACAAGTTTATAACAGTATTATTATTGTATAATAGCACGAATTTAAATAAAAAACGACAGATAGCACAACTTGTGAACTCGCTAAATCACAGTTCGTAAAAATTTTAGCGCCGACTTCTCAACTAACAGTGTTATTTAAAGAAAAAAAACAGCGCCACATCCATCATACAAAATACGGCAAATGTCATTGCTAATATTTAATAATTGAATTGATAAATAAACTTTATGCAACATTTATTTAAATGTTAAAGTATTGTATAAAATCTTATATTTCGAAAAAATACATTTGTAGAAAAAAGTGCATTTCTACTCTTCATACATGCGCTATATCAGCTCGAACATACCTACCCGACGCCATTTCGAGAATGATTATTTCATGATAGCAAATGATTACACTGCCTGTGGAGATGCGGTGTTATTATGGCTACAATAGCTAAAGAGAGAAAATAAAGGTTAATATTGAGTTATTTGTTATTTAGTTATACATCGCTTTATTAAAAACCTGACATTACAATGTAATTTTCCTCTGTAAAAAGAAAGAAGTATCTTGACCAACTCGACGAACTGTTAATAAATCCTTACAACTAATTTAAATATGTTTCCTGTTAAGCTAGATCTATGATCCCTGAAAGCTAGTTCTAAAATGATTTCAAACGAGATGAAAAGAAAAAAATAAATGTGAAGCCAGATTTTGAGGTATATGATTAGTGTTTGTTTTGCCAAAAATAGCGTGATTATTTAATTTATTAAATAAATATGTTGTATGTTAATATGTATGAATTGTCGATATTTTTCTGAACGTTGCTTTCTTCGTTTGTGCCATAACTCTATCATAAAACTGTAATGGGAAATAAATAACAATAATTAGGCCACTTATTAAGTCCATTAATCCGCCATATATTATCTAGAACAATATAAATAAATGTGATTTATTATAAAAATTGTTTAAAGTCGAGAAAGCGTTTCTACTTTTTACGTCCACTGTATGTGTATGTACAATATTTATATTTTCATTTGAGTTGTTGCTTCGTTAGTGCTTTCAATAAACTTGGCATTGACGTCATTAGATTTATCGACTTAGTGAGATCAGGTTATTTGCAGTTAAATCTGGTATACTCGTACACTTACGCCTATGTTTGTAGTTGCGTATATCTTCACTTATGTACATATACTTATTTGTGTTTACACTGAGTATAAAATTGTATACACTGATTATTCCAACTCACTTGCTAGCTATCTTCTCTCATGTAATTTTTTCTGACACTGTAGCTTATGTTTTTCCACATCCAAATGTACCATATGTTGCTAGCCATATAAACTATATAATGTGTTTACATGTGTGTGTACAGTTCATGAGTGAATACTAATGTTTGTTTATCTATTCTAGCGCGTGCAATTCTTTTCTATTTATAAAATATACTATATACACATATACTATATGTGCCTCAGTGTTTTACTGCCGCTGAAAGATCGAAACATGTACATATGTATGTATATACTATATATTTTGTATTTGTGAAGTATGTTTTCTTGTTGCCGTCCGGAATTTGCCGATACAGTAAAAATATTGATCACGTGTGCAATATTTCTTCGGAATCCACAGTCGTTGTTTGATTACTTTTGATTATAAGCTTATAGACCTCAATTGGCGATATGGCATGGGTTAATGTACTAAAGATAATAAAGTATTATGAATATGAAAAGTTTTTTTTGACATAAGCATGTATGCCCCTGTATTTGCCTATGATATGTTAGCAGATTATATTTATGGAGCTATTTCGACGATTTTGGATCAAAGTTTGCACTTGGATTTATTTTATTTTATCTATTGGAATTGCATACCTGTAGTACGGTGTCGCATATTTTATCGCTATATCAGGAGGTAATGAGAAACACTCAAATCAAATTTTGTGTTACTAGTACTTACCTCATGACATCAGGGGTGTTGTGGAATCCAAGACAGATTTGCGTAGTTGTCAGAATTGAAAACTAATTCTGATTTTGAATGGTGTCACAGAATCTGATTGGACTTGCGTCTTTTTGAACATATGCAAAACCAATATTCGAATCAGCTGTTTACTAATGTGACAAAATTTGCAAATGAATAAATTAGGAAACGTTTTATAAATTTGAAATGCTGAATGAAGTCTACTAAAGTTTACAATGAGTTCCGCTATTTTAGCTTTTATTTTATTTGAAGAAAAAAAGCAACGAAAAAAATTAAAGGAATACATTAAGAGATCACAGTAATCCACTTGATGCACCAGGGGAGTCGCATGTGAAATTTGGCTTGCATTTACTTGTATGTTTGTATACATGCTTACTTTACAGATTTATTTCACATTATCGACTGAATAAAGACGCATTTGGGTGTTAAATTACGTTTGTTACGTTATGTAAATTCTCTTAAAATATCTTGATATTTATATATCATATATATATATGATAGTATGACATTTTTTGTTTTATTCTTATGTTTTCCCCATAGAAATAACGATAAATTAAATCGTAACAATAATATGAATTATTTTCTTAACTTACATTTCAAATCTGTCAGCAAAAATCCTCTTGCTTTGCTTCTGATAACAAAACCGATAAATTTGGTTTCCGTGACACACAAAACCGATACAATTTCTCTTTCGAACATCAAACCAATAATATCTGAATTCATGACACCTACTACATTTTTTTTTATCGGTTTCAATTCTGATTCTGACAACTATCTGATTCTACAACACCCCCGATTAAGCCACGAAGTTTGGAATACCCAGAAGGAAACTTCGGAGACCCTAATATTATATATAATCGATTAGCGTGACGAGTCGATTTATCCGTGTCAATATCTTTGTCCCTCTGTATATACGCGAACTAGTCCCTCAGTTTTTGAGATATCGATCTGAAATTTTGCACTCGTCTTTTTCTTTTCATGAAGCTGCTAGGTTGATTGGACCATTTTGATATATTGCCGAAATTTCACATGCATTATTGTTTATGGCAATGTTTAAACTTAATGTATGCTCGTATAATAGTATGGACTACTATAGTAGGTCACAAATTTATTGTTAAAAGAAAATAATAGTATTTAAAACAGTATTTAGAAAACCAATCATACCCAGACTGAATCTGTTCGTCGAGCCATTATTTTCTAAACCTGCTTTGCATTGTTACGTCATAGAGCACACCTAGTGTTTAAACCGTTCGTTAGGTATTGCTTCTCAAGGATCGTTCACTAACTTCCATATGATTAATACTTTCACTTCCACAAAATTATTTATTTTGTGCAGCATAGTGAAATGTAAAAAGACTTCAAATGCATTCGAGTTTACATGATTATAGCCAACGGCGCTGAACAGTCATCGTCTGAATGGGGCTGTTTTCGACGTAGTTCATTAGTCCACATGACTATTAAGTTCATCATTTATTGGAGACCTGATCAAATAAATTATAGCTATCATAAAATGATTGTAAAATTGTTTGTCTATTGATGTCGCAAAACTCACCACACCTTTAAGACGTTTTTTTTTTTATTACTATGAAGAATTATTTAATACCATCTGGCAACTAGCCGAAGATGACATCGAAATCAACATCGTGTTGTTGCCATTGAAGGCCCGACAGCTCATCTGCATTTACTCTTTTGTGACACTTGTTCTTTTAATGAATGTTTTTGTTATGCCTTTTATTGTTACTTCACTTTGGTCTCAAAATAAAAAATAATTATGTACGTACACTCGTATGCTTGAAATAATGTGTCAGCGCCGGCCTAGCCAACGTAACAAAGCAGTTGTTGGATGCTACCCAACACGTACATTTTCATGAATTAAACGAGTGATCTCGTTTGTGTAATACACAATTTAAAACGTTTTCGCTCTGCACACAGAAATTGTATGGCTCTATTTCGAAAATAAATGTTTGACGTTGAACGTAAAAGCTTTGACGTCGTTAGTCGCAATTAGTTGCCACTCTCAATTGTTGATGGCGATTGCTCGCATGCGGCACAATCATGCAGTTCGCACGAGATCTTTCATAGTGTTTGATGTTAAAAACGTGATTGCTCTCATAAAATGGACTCATACTTATTCCATCACGCTACTTAAAATTAATATTTCCAATATAAAATTCGACAAGTTCTTGCTATTCTAAAATTATTTGCGATTATTATTTCTTCAATTATCTACTAAATAAAACAACTATTATTGTTTTACCTTCTCTTCTATATTTTTATACTCTCGCAACCTGTTGCTACAGAGTATAATAGTTTTGTTCACCTAACGGTTGTTTGTATCACCTAAAACTAATCGAGTTAGATATAGGGTTATATATATATAAATGATCAGGATGAAGAGACGAGTTGAAATCCGGGTGACTGTCTGTCCGTCCGTCCGTCCGTCCGTGCAAGCTCTAACTTGAGTAAAAATTGAGATATCTTTATGAAACTTGGTAGACATGTTTCTTGGTACCGTGAGACGGTTGGTATTGCAGATGGGCGTAATCAGACCACTGCCACGCCCACAAAACGCCATTAATCAAAAACAAATAACTTGCCATAACTAAGCTCCGCAATAAGATACAAGACTGTTATTTGGTACACAGGATCACATTAGGGAGGGGCATCTGCAGTTAGAACTTTTTTTTTTAAAAGTGGGCGTGGTCCCGCCTCTAATAGGTTTAATGTGCATATCTCCTAAACCGCTAATGCTATAATAACAAAATTCACTAGAAGCAAATGTTTTTAGCACTTCTATTGACGTTGTGAAAATAGTTGAAATCAGGTGGCAACTCCGCCCACTCCCCATATAACGGTACTGTTAAAAACTACTAAAAGCGCGATAAATCAAGCACTAAACACGCCAGAGACATTAAATTTTATCTCTGAGATGGTATAAATTGGCTTTATAGGAACCGCGTTCAAAATTAGTCAGTGGGCGTGGCACAGCCCACTTTTAGGTGAAAACCCATATCTTGAGATCTGCTCAACCGATTTCAACCAAATTCGGTGCATAACGTGTTCATGTTTCTATGTCATAGTGCGAAAATGGGCGAAATCGGACTACAACCACGCTTACTTCCTATGTAACACCATTTTCAATTCCATCTGATTCTTTCACTTTCACTATGCAAATCAGGTAACAATGATTATATCGGGGTAAAACTTTGCGTGAATAATGCAATTAAAGTATGCCACCTTGCGGCTAAAAATTGTCTAAATCGAACCAAAACTGTTCAAACCCCTAAGTACTAAATATGTGGACCCCAGTGCCTATAGTTGACCTTCTACCGAAAATATCAGTCAATCCACAAAGAAATCTCAAACGAGTATACCATTTGACTTTGCGAGAGTATATAATGTTCGGTTACATCCGAACTTAGCCCTTCCTTACTTGTTTAAATTATTTTTTCCTAAAACAACTGAAAAATGAACAATTAAAATTAGGTCATCAGGTTAGCACATATCCCTTTCTTCAGTATTTTCAAAAAAAATTTTCGCCAGTAATATATTTATAAACTTATGTATTAACTAATTTAAACATTTGTATATTATTTTAATATTGAGTCGATTCCGCTTTCTTGAGAATATTTTATTAGTATTCAAAAATAGCAATTCGCAATTGCCATATTAGAAAATGGCTCCCCACACCATCATACCGGTTCTCCTTCCGAATATTATGGATATAATAATTGTGTCTGAAAAGATGACATAGCGCCAAATCAGACTTTAAGGTCATGTATTTAATTGCGGGGAACCTTAAGTGGTGACTTTTTCGTTAGTTTTTATAGTTATAAATATGCAACATTCCTTAGCATCCTTTAAACAGTAGATAATCTCACTTTAACACTAACATTTACCCGGATCTTGGCGGTCGATTCATGAGAGTTTGATTATTTTCTCAAAATTGCTCTTTTGTTGACATCGGAAATCACTTTATTGTTACCACCTTTTTTTTCGACTGTACTCCGACTTATTACGCCAGAATTTGTATAAAAAATTATCGACTTCTGTCAATTTTTTTTTGATCTTTCAATTCTTCTGATCTGTAATTCTTCATAAGCTCCGATTATTGCATTTTCTTCCACCGATAGCGATTCTCCTTTAGCTATATTAAGGAAGTAAGCAATACCAAAAATTTGGTTTCAAACAACAGAAAATAACAAAATCCACATAAGGGGACATTCTCATTATGTTTTGTTGTTGTTGTGACGGTATCTAAACCCGGATTGGGTGGTAAGTTTCAGTTAGGTTGTCGTCGAGGTCATCTAACGGAAGGCCCAGGAAACGAGCTGTTTCGAAGGGGTCGGACCATAGGGAAAAGGATGTTAGATGAGTTGGGTTCCTTGGGCATGCAAAGACATGGTTAGTGTCATGCGGAGACTCATTGCATGCAGGACATATATTTACCATGTCGGGATTGATTCTGGGTAAGTAACTCGAGCTCTTCGTCTGCGATGGGTGGTGGTTTGACTCCAAGTACGCCATTCACTGAGAGGGTGTCGGTGAAGGTGTTGATGGATCCACTGTGAATGGCGGCCAGTGTACGTCCAATATCGTAGACGTAATCAAGGGAGCACCTCTTGATCTTCCTAGGGGGCAGTTCCGCTTCTACGAAAACATCCCACCCTATGTAGGTGTTCGATTAGGGACATCAAGAGGCAACCCGTGATAGTCCGAAGTGCATTGTTTTGACATGTCTGAAGCTTCTTCGTCTGCGTTGCACTACATCCAGGCGACCATATTGCTGCAGCGTAGTTTAGGACCGGCCGGCCGATTGCCTTGTAAGTTGCCAACAACGTTTCTTTGTCTTTTCCCCAAGGGCTGCAAGAAACTTGAGGATTTTGTTGCGGCTCTGTACTTTGGCAGTTATCGCGGTCGTGTGAGTAGTGACTGTCGGAATTTTAACGCCATCGACTGTAATGTTTAGATCCAGTCTGTACTCCACCGTTAAGTTTGTGAAGGGAGAGTGTTAGGCTCCTTGCAGAGAAGAAGCAAGAAAGGTCGGAGAGATAGTCGTTAATTTCGAGCACATGCCATCCATTCCATATTATGTTTTCTTTATCGGTGATTGTTCTTACAAAGATTCGAAAATCAGAAAACAATAAAGTAGCTGAAAGTTTATAACAAAAAAAAAAAATCAAAAGCAGTGTATATTGATATAGGAAAACTTTTAACAGTGTTAGATTAAACATTATTTGAATTATGTTTTACTCGTTTTGTGTATGTTTTAATTAGTCGCTAGTACTTAGTTATCAACTGAGAACAGAAATTAGTTAGGGCATATCTTTATTTGGCTTATTGCATAGCAATTTTATTCTAATAATACAATATGTAAATTCTTATATACGTATTCTAATAATATGGCATGACTTATACATTAATTATGCGCTGTCGCAACCAGCCGCGGAGTAATTTTGAGCAAAACGAGGTCAATATTTTTGTTTTCGACACAGTCATTTGATTATTTGTGTTTAGGTTAGAATTACATATGTATGTATGCATATACATATAAAAGTATGCGAAGCTTTTTGGATTACTGTACATATTATTAAACATTTTCGGAAGCAATGTAAATTAAATTAAGTATAAACTAATAAATAAAGTATAAACTCAATATAATTATAAATATTAATTTGCTTTAATAACGATCATTATGCATTTTTGCAGTTAAATACCCATAAATTACACTGATTTTCTGTTGTTTTTTGTTTAAGGTCAACAAACAAAAAACATCGACAAATCAGTATTGTTGTAGAAATTAAAAATTTTCTTCTTAAGTTTTTTTTTTTTTAATATTCCAGTTTTGTGTTCTCTCTTTTGTTCCTAATGAAATAATGAAATATTTTTTTGAATCATAACTAACATTTTGAGCCAGCATAGTCTTAATTTGATAACACACTTCTTATATTGATACTTGACGTTTCCAACGAAATGTATTATATAAACAATTATAAAATTGATTTAGCTTTAGTTGTTCTTCAGTCGTCTTGACTTCATTATGCTTTTCTTTCTACGCCCAATAAGACAGTCTGTGTGTTTTAACCATTTTTGTGTTTTTCCTTTATTAATTGTTGTAGCTCCTTTTTTATTATACTCTCGCAACCTCCGTCCGTCCGTCCGTCCGTCCGTGCAAGCTCTAACTTGAGTAAAAATTGAGATATCTTTATGAAACTTGGTAGACATGTTTCTTGATACCGTGAGACAGTTGGTATTGCAGATGGGCGTAATCGGACCACTGCCACGCCCACAAAACGCCATTATTCAAAAACAAATAAATTGCCATTACTAAGCTCCACAACAAGATACAAGACTCTTATTTGGTATACAGGATCACAATAGGGATGGGCATCTGCAGTTAAATTTTTTTTTAAAGTGGGCGTGGTCCCGCCCCTAATGGGTTTAATGTGCATATCTCCTAAACCGCTAATGCAATAATAACAAAATTCACTGGAAGCAAATGTTTTTAGAACCTCTACCTACATTGTGAAAATGGGTGAAATCGGGATGGCAACTCCGCCCACTCCCCATATAACGGTACTGTTAAAAACTACTAAAAGCGCGATAAATCAAGCACTAAACACGCCAGAGACATTAAATTGTATCTCTAGGATGGTATTCAGATGACTTTATAGGAACCGCGTTCAAAATTAGAAAGTGGGAATGGCACAGCCCACTTTTAGGTGAAACCCCATATATTGAGATCTGCTTAATCGATTTCAACCAAATTCGGTGCATAACGTTCTTTTCATATTTCTATGTCATAGTGCGAAATCGGACTACAACCACGCCTACTTCCCATATAACATCATTTTAAATTCCATTTGATTCTTTCACTTTCCACTATGCAAATCAGGCAACAATGATTATATCAGGATAAAACTTTGCGTGAATAATGCGATTAAAGTATGCCACCTTGTGGCCAAAAATTGTCTAAATCGAACCAAAACTGTTCAAGCCCCTAAGTACTAAATATGTGGACCCCAGTGCCTATAGTTGACCTTCTACCGAAAATATCAGTCAATCCACATAGAAATTTCAAACGAGTATACCATTTGACTTGGTGAGAGTATAAAATGTTCGGTTACATCCGAACTTAGCACTTCCTTACTTGTTTACTTTTTTTTTTTTTTTTATTTTTTAATGCCGTACGGTCTGAATTGCTGCCTTATTTGCCAATCGGCAAACTATAGCGCCCATGAATGGCAAATGTTAATGTTAATAGCTTCCGAACAAGAACAGTGCCAATCAATTTACC